ATATATATATATATAACCTCTTATTAATAATTTCATACTAAAAGCAAGTTGTATGACGATCAACCACTTATTAATAATTTCAAAATGAAGAGATAATTAAGTATGGTATAGTAATTTTCATTTTACGTCATTAAGATATTCCTTTGAACTTGGTAATAATGAATTGGAACCATATTGCTCGGTGTGAATTGTTGGTTCTTCGGGAATATGTGACTTTTCATGCATTAATTATATTACTAAGGTAGACAAAAGTAACGTTTTTTTTAATAAAGAAGTGCAATTTGTTTGAATTTTATCAAAAAATTCATTTTGAAAAAATAAAGCTCAAATTCCAAACTTTAAACTCTAATATAAATAAGTTTCATGATTTTTCTAGCTGAACTCACGTTGGTTTAACACGCATTCAACTTTGTTATCAGTATACTAGGCTGTTTATTAAGTAAGAAATTATATATTAAAATCATGTTACATAAATATATGTCCTATATTTGTATTTTATTTTTTAAATTGTCCTTTTTAATAAAATTCAAAACAAACCACACCACTCGCGTAAAAAAATTAAAAAGTAACACTAAAATCTATCTCTAAATCTTGATTATTTTTTTTCTCACATCATTCGGTGTTTATTATTAATTTTTATTATTTTTATAAACTTAAAACTCAAATAGTTTTAATTATAATAATTTATTCAAACTATACTATTTTAAACTTGAGTACAAATAATAATAATAATAATAATTTATTATGATTATTAATTTAAGAGAGAACATTTATATTAGTTTGAAAGCTCAAAAGAATCTAACTAAAAAAAGTGATTTAGAAGTAGATGAATTAGAAAAATCCTATAGTGAGGAGAAGAAACCTGCAATTATCGTTTAGGAGTATGGTGATGTGACTAGTAATTTTAAATCAATCAACATATTAGATAAAGATCAAACAGAATTAATATTAATTATAAATAAATTAGAAGATTCACCTTAAAAATAAGAATTTTTGCCACAATTTAATAACCTAATTAAAAGAGATGAAGAAGCACAGGAAGAGGTAAATGCAATTAGTATGAAGGAAATCTATAATAAATTTAAAAGGCCAAGTCAACAAGCAACTAAAAAAATCTACAAGAAGAAATAAAAAATTTAAAAATAAATTCAAATATTAAAAGAAATTAAAATATTAAAAGAAAAATGATATGTTTTTAGAATATTCGATGATTATAATTGAAAGGAAAGGAAATAATGCGGTATCAAATAAAAATTAATGGAGAGAAAAGGGATGTGAAAGAGAATAGAAATATCTAAAACTAGATTGAATAAGGATTCATTAAATTTTAAATTTGTGGTTGATTAGGTATTAAAATTATTTATATTTTTCAATTAAATTTTAAATTTGTGGTTGATTAGGTATTAAAATTATTTATATTTTTCAATTAAATTTTAATTATTTAATTTTTCTTTTAATTGATCAAAGTCACTCAAAAAAATCTAATCGAATAAACTCCATTAAAAAGTATAAATTTTTAAAATAAGTAATATATCACAAAAATGTATCAAAAACTCAACTAAATATAATTTAATTTATATGAATTTAAAACTTAATTAAATTTTACATTAATTTTGTTAAGTTTGATATCCACTAATAAGAGGTAGATATCAATTTATATACAAAAAGGTTTAGTTTCCACTCTAAGAAAATTGAAGAAAAAATTACTACTGCCAATAGATCTAAAATAAATATTCAATATAAAATTTTTAGTGAAAAATAAAGTGTGTTATAATATTTCCTTTTAATTAGTAAAAATATGAATATTCCATGATTTTAAGAAGCCCTATCTAGGTAATAATAGTTTATACTCTAGGTAAAGAAATGTGCTATAAATTTATTAAACCACATAAAATAAGACAATTAAATTTGTTAAAAGGATCATCACTTAAATATTCATAATCTTGTATACAGTTATGAAGAAAAAAAAATAGAAAAAGAGATTTGTGAAACGAATCCTTTGTATACATAATTTTGATGAAACACAAATGTGAATAAAAGTCAAACCAATACAAATGAATCATTAATCTATGGAATATTGTAAAAAGGAAATTCAAGATATTGTTAAGCAACTTAAACCCTCTATACCTGCTAATCTCGTACTTCTAACTACCAATAGTTCTAACTTAAACCCAAACACATGAATAAGAACAACATTTTTTTGAAAGAAGAATCAATTCCAATACTCACTGTAGAAAAATCATGGAATAGAAACAGCCCATAGCAATCTTCTGTATATTAAATTCTTGCTTTCTACACCACCATAATTACTAACGGTACAACAAAAATACTTAAACACACCACTGTAGTATAACACGACAGGAAAGAAAAGGAGAGAAATACACACAAAAAAAGTTTGTACCGACAAGTTTTTGATTTGCTAGCACCCAGGTCCACGTAGGGGGCAGAGAAAATCTTGAGAGGACATCCTATTGTAAACTTAGAAATATATCACAGTGACAAAATATGGATGCCAAGACTCAAATACGGAAGACTTTATGAATTGATATAGAAATTAAGCAACGAATTCCACATGTATATCCGTACCAAGCTTGGGTGATGAAAAATAAACCAGGGGCATGTTTGTTTTAATTTCATAATCAATTTCACCCACTGTTTACTCCTTCCAACAAAAATCAATGGTTGAAATTATTTTTCGCACCCATTTCAATTATGTTCAATGATATAAAATAAATTCTATCCATCTCTAAACCAAATATTTATTAAGACACATTCCAATTATGTTTTTTTATTGATTCAAACTAGGTTCTATCCAAGGAGGTAATACAATACCAAGCTTGAAAATTTGCGAATTAACATCAAAGTGAAACTTACTTATAGTCACAAACATGTACCACATTAAAGGTTTTCTTCAAGTCATAATAGTAGATGGTCAACGTGATCATTGGCCTTGCCATCTCCTCCACCAGAAAGGTGTTCTAGCTCCCTGTGAAGGAGGTGGCGTAAGAATATCAAGCATTGTCTCCTTCTCTTTTGGAGTCAATGAAACACCTCTGACAAGATCCAGAGCCATGATATGGACATTAGTCTTTTGTTTATGCTTCTTGTAAACCCATCCTCCTGCAGCTACAGCACCAATTAAGACCTATTTGAAAGAACATATTTTCGGAATCAGCAAAATTTAAACTACACTAAAGTAAAAAACTCAAGTCCTTTCAGTCCTTCAGAAAAAAATTTACAGGTGATAACCACAAAGCTGCTGTCTGCATATCAAACTTGGGCGTATAGAGTACAGTCTCTCCAAAATCGTCCTCAAGCTTTTTGTAGATTTGCTTGTCACTCTTTCCAGCCCGAATTTCATCACGAATTAACTGAGAAACAGTACAAGTGTTAAGGTTTGTTTGATAGAAACAAGGCTCACTTTCAAAAACTGCTAGCAGACATGGCTGTTTTTTCATTTTAAAGAAATTTTGAGCAGAAATGGAACAAAAGCAAACATAAAATTAGGCAAGAAACTTCAAAGTCTTAAAATATATGTTCTATAAACATAGGAAAATCAGTTATTTCACACGCCCAAAATTCCATCGCAAGTCTGGCATATTCTGTTTAATTTTTTTTAGCTTCATCAAGACAAAAATTCAAGTTAATGACAATGAAGGGTACAAAAAACAAAAGACTTAATCCAAAGTAAATAAAGCTTTACAAACCATGTATCCAATTAAATCAGAAAGGGGGAGTTTTCTTTTTCTTTTTTCTTTTCCTCCTGTGAGTTGCAGGAATGAAAATTGGCAGGCATGTAATTGACAGAAAGCCAAAGTAAGCCTCAAAGAAGATAAACTACACAAGTAAACAAGAAAGAATACTGCATAACTCCATAAAAGTTGAACCGTTACAACAAGGGAAAGCTCATTAAAAAGTAATGTATCCAAAGGATACATTGATATTTGATAACTCATTCTAGAATTTACATAAAAAAAAAAAGAATTTGGGTGTTCGATGTTAATTTTTAAGTCGCAAACAAAAAACAATCTGATATTAGACTCCACCCTTATGCACCAAATCATCTCAGTCCTTTCTCCAAATTATTTCAAGTTTAGAAGTCATTTGATGTTCCAAACAAGTAGTTGAATGAAACACAAAAGAAAACACGCTAAAAAAATCATGTTTCAAATGGCACTAAGGAAATAATTAATAAGGACACCCATATTAGAAAGTAAAAGTACATAGAAAAGCACCTTTCTGAGCAAAATGGCAATGTCTGCTTGAGAATCCTCAATGGATTGACTTCCACACTCCGTGCACCTCACATTGTGACTAATGTTTCTAGCCCGAGCATCAACTATCATTGCATTCTTCACTGCATCATCCTCACTCGCCATTCTAACCTACCCAAACAAATATCATTAAAACATTCAAAGGAAAAAAAGGACTCTGTATGCTGCGCTGAAGAGAAAGTAATGAAAATTCTGTTTTAGCCACACAATTCACCAAACAGCTGCAAGGCCAAAAAACCAGGACAAGAACATAACAAAATGAAACCAAAAAGAGGTAATGCTACAGCGACAAAACGAGGTAATCAAGTAAGAAACCTCGATTCACTGTCGCTTCTCTCTTCTCCACGCTTCTACGACTCTCTCTTTCTCTCTTCACCCTCTCTTCTCTTTTTGTCTCCAAAATAACACCGACTTCATCCCTAAACGGCTACGAAATACCCATTCATTTTCCGGTGACCTGAGTTGAAATTTGTGATTGTCAAAAACATAGAATGGAAAGTATAGACATTAAAAGTCTTGTGACTCCATGTGGGTTTGGATGTTTGAAAGATGCTCCTAGATTGTTAAAAGTTCTCAGTTCTTTGGATTGAGGTTTGGGAGGCATAGAAGAAGTAATGAATTGAGATAAGGGTAAAAGGGGAACTAGGGAATAGCAAAATGGTTTCCCGCATCCACCCTAAATAGGGTATGCTTTTGGGCCAAAAGTATCATCGACTTACAAAAGACTAAAGAATGTTGCTACTCCACCACCACCAAAAAAAAATTAAATATTTTATAAATTAATTTAAAATGTAATATTTTAGTAAATTAAAAAAAATACCTGGATGTGACATAACTATTTAACTAATTAAACAAAAAATATTTAAATAATTAATTAAATAATAATACATAAATTAAATTAATAATTATTATTTTATTAAATAAAATAAAATTAATTTATATATAATTATATAATAAATTTAAAATTTAAATAATATTTGTATTTAATTTAAAATACAATAAATTAATAAATTAAAAACTAAAAAAAATATGACCATCTAACACATCCGTTTAATTAATTATATAAAAAATATTTAAATAAATAATTAAATAATAATATATATTAAATTAATAATTATTATTTTATTAAATAAAATAATTAATTTATACATAATTATATAATAAATTTTAAAAAATTTAAATAATATTTATATATTAATTTAAATTACAATAAATTAATAAACTAAAAACTAAAAACTATTAAAAAAAAACGGATGTGGCACGTCCGTTTAACTAGTTATATAAAAAATATTTAAATAATTAATTAAATAATAATACATAAATTAAATTAATAATAATTATTTTATTAAATAAAATAAAATTAATTTATATATAATTACATAATAAATTTAAAATTTAAATAATATTTGTATTTAATTTAAAATACAATAAATTAATAAATTAAAAACTAAAAAAAATATGACCATCTAACACATCCGTTTAATTAATTATATAAAAAATATTTAAATAAATAATTAAATAATAATATATATTAAATTAATAATTATTATTTTATTAAATAAAATAATTAATTTATACATAATTATATAATAAATTTTAAAAAATTTAAATAATATTTATATATTAATTTAAATTACAATAAATTAATAAACTAAAAACTAAAAACTATTAAAAAAAAACGGATGTGGCACGTCCGTTTAACTAGTTATATAAAAAATATTTAAATAATTAATTAAATAATAATACATAAATTAAATTAATAATAATTATTTTATTAAATAAAATAAAATTAATTTATATATAATTACATAATAAATTTTAAAAAAAATTACATAATATTTATATATTAATTTAAAATACAATAAATTAATAAACTAAAAACTAAAAAAAAAACTTGAATCGATGTGACATATGCGTTGAAAAAAAAAAGTGGGGGTGTAAGATATTTTATAATATAAAAACTAGTTTTGGAATTTTCAAAAAATATGTGGTGCAAGGAGCAATGTATGGTGGTGTAGGGAGTAAACCTCAAAACTAAAACAGAGTATTTTTGTGTTAATTAAAAAGTGAAATCCTTCATCCATTCACTTTGTATCTAGAACTGTCAAATTAACTCGTTCACAGGACTTTGTCCTAGCTTATATAAGTTGGGATTTAAAAATATGATCAAAAAATGTTTTATTTAAAAAACTTACTCATCAGACATCCCAAAAATATAACTGAAAACTATATATAAGACTCATCACATAATAATAATGTAGAAAAGTTTCTGGGAATAAAGTTAACTTACACTTATCCTAAAATAACCATAAATTTATAACTTTACAAAATTCTATCCTAATACAAAACTATACATGACCGAACGACCCTAGTCTAAGCAGTTGGGTCCTCTCCATCCAACGTCTGTTATAGAGAACACTCGTCATCCTCTGTTCACACCCACAGGATGATCATTGCAAAGAAGAAATACCGAACGAAAAACTTATACAAGACAGAAAAGAACGGTAAGCTAATGTAATTTAATAGTCATGTGAGCATACGATTCAAACAAACAGATCAGATAATTATACATATGTATAAAGCATATGAACACATATTGACCGACCACTTTAACTTGACCGTCCGAACTAGATGTAGCTATGGTCGTTCGTGCACTCGTGGATGTAGTAACTGAAAACTCATCAGTTGCCACATGAGGTTAGCCTGTTATCACTCATCTTAGGTCCCCCCTAGGCTAGGGCTTCCTGCTATTCTCACGACATGACTTACCCATCTCTACTTGAGAACTGGTAGTCATTAGAATTTCAGGATGAATGTCGTGGATTTCACTATCCATATTCATACTTTATCACCACTTTTATATCCAATCACTGAGACATTCCTCCTTGAAATTCTCTTTCATACCAGTTGAAACATAATCCTTTATAAAAACATTCACTCCATCATTCATACATAGCATGTTCATATAGCTGAATTTAAACAAGTTATCAAACAATAATGGAAATCACATGCAAGACCGAACACGATGTCTGCGTTGGAGACTGAACGTTTTCTCACTACCCCAAATAACAAGACCGAATGGTGTAAGACCCTAGAACCTCAAGAATTTACCAAGTTGTAAAAAGTTCAAGTTATAATGTAAAATGGAATGCTGTCAGGTTTGACATGGTTTACTATTTTAATTATAACTTTTTGTAGAAAATATCAATTGAGTTGATTCTTGTTTTATTGGAAACTAGACTCAAATATCTTTAATTGGACATATAAATATAAATTTTTGGACTACCGGGCTAGCTGCAGTAAAATTATTAAAACTCGGAAACGTTAATCACGCTCAGGTATGTTCAGTTTTGACCTATGATGACTGTTTTGCTTATTACTTTCTCTACCGAACTCCAATTGAGTTGATTCTTGTTTCATTGGAAACTAGACTCAAAGAGCTTCAATTTGACTACTCATACACATATTTTGGACTTCGGGAAGGTGTCTAACTGAGCTGGGGAAAACGTGACAGTGTTGCTGTCCAGGGGCTAGCGTCCAACCTTAATTTTAGGTACATTTTTACAAGTTGCGATTTTTTTGGAGTGGGTAGGTTGTGTTCTGAACTAGGAGAACATTTTGGAACCTTTGGAGACTTTCCTACCATGTTTTAGGGCTGAAAAAAAAATGGTTTAGGATGGTTCATTGGTTGTTTATTATTGCTAAGTACCAAGTGCATAGGTCCTTTGTTGTCTAAGGCATCTTCTTTAATTCCAAATCAGATTTGGAGTTTTGGGGGAGAGTAGAGAGGTCCTTGGTGGGAGGTGAACGAAAATCCTAAGTGTTCTAAGTGTGGAGACTGACTTGGTCTAGCAAGGAGGAGAAGAATTGCTCTCTTGGAAGAAGAGAGATTTAAGTTAGAATTTTCCTTGAAATTGAAAGTGAAAACAAGCAAAGGTGGTGGTCTAGAGGTATCAAGAGTGAAGAATTTCTTGCAAGGAGAAGAGGTAGGGGAGCTAATCCTTTCTTGATTATGATCATGAATATGAGTATGAATGTGTTAAAATTTNCCCGAGCATCAACTATCATTGCATTCTTCACTGCATCATCCTCACTCGCCATTCTAACCTACCCAAACAAATATCATTAAAACATTCAAAGGAAAAAAAGGACTCTGTATGCTGCGCTGAAGAGAAAGTAATGAAAATTCTGTTTTAGCCACACAATTCACCAAACAGCTGCAAGGCCAAAAAACCAGGACAAGAACATAACAAAATGAAACCAAAAAGAGGTAATGCTACAGCGACAAAACGAGGTAATCAAGTAAGAAACCTCGATTCACTGTCGCTTCTCTCTTCTCCACGCTTCTACGACTCTCTCTTTCTCTCTTCACCCTCTCTTCTCTTTTTGTCTCCAAAATAACACCGACTTCATCCCTAAACGGCTACGAAATACCCATTCATTTTCCGGTGACCTGAGTTGAAATTTGTGATTGTCAAAAACATAGAATGGAAAGTATAGACATTAAAAGTCTTGTGACTCCATGTGGGTTTGGATGTTTGAAAGATGCTCCTAGATTGTTAAAAGTTCTCAGTTCTTTGGATTGAGGTTTGGGAGGCATAGAAGAAGTAATGAATTGAGATAAGGGTAAAAGGGGAACTAGGGAATAGCAAAATGGTTTCCCGCATCCACCCTAAATAGGGTATGCTTTTGGGCCAAAAGTATCATCGACTTACAAAAGACTAAAGAATGTTGCTACTCCACCACCACCAAAAAAAAATTAAATATTTTATAAATTAATTTAAAATGTAATATTTTAGTAAATTAAAAAAAATACCTGGATGTGACATAACTATTTAACTAATTAAACAAAAAATATTTAAATAATTAATTAAATAATAATACATAAATTAAATTAATAATTATTATTTTATTAAATAAAATAAAATTAATTTATATATAATTATATAATAAATTTAAAATTTAAATAATATTTGTATTTAATTTAAAATACAATAAATTAATAAATTAAAAACTAAAAAAAATATGACCATCTAACACATCCGTTTAATTAATTATATAAAAAATATTTAAATAAATAATTAAATAATAATATATATTAAATTAATAATTATTATTTTATTAAATAAAATAATTAATTTATACATAATTATATAATAAATTTTAAAAAATTTAAATAATATTTATATATTAATTTAAATTACAATAAATTAATAAACTAAAAACTAAAAACTATTAAAAAAAAACGGATGTGGCACGTCCGTTTAACTAGTTATATAAAAAATATTTAAATAATTAATTAAATAATAATACATAAATTAAATTAATAATAATTATTTTATTAAATAAAATAAAATTAATTTATATATAATTACATAATAAATTTTAAAAAAAATTACATAATATTTATATATTAATTTAAAATACAATAAATTAATAAACTAAAAACTAAAAAAAAAACTTGAATCGATGTGACATATGCGTTGAAAAAAAAAAGTGGGGGTGTAAGATATTTTATAATATAAAAACTAGTTTTGGAATTTTCAAAAAATATGTGGTGCAAGGAGCAATGTATGGTGGTGTAGGGAGTAAACCTCAAAACTAAAACAGAGTATTTTTGTGTTAATTAAAAAGTGAAATCCTTCATCCATTCACTTTGTATCTAGAACTGTCAAATTAACTCGTTCACAGGACTTTGTCCTAGCTTATATAAGTTGGGATTTAAAAATATGATCAAAAAATGTTTTATTTAAAAAACTTACTCATCAGACATCCCAAAAATATAACTGAAAACTATATATAAGACTCATCACATAATAATAATGTAGAAAAGTTTCTGGGAATAAAGTTAACTTACACTTATCCTAAAATAACCATAAATTTATAACTTTACAAAATTCTATCCTAATACAAAACTATACATGACCGAACGACCCTAGTCTAAGCAGTTGGGTCCTCTCCATCCAACGTCTGTTATAGAGAACACTCGTCATCCTCTAATCACACCCACAGGATGATCATTGCAAAGAAGAAATACCGAACGAAAAACTTATACAAGACAGAAAAGAACGGTAAGCTAATGTAATTTAATAGTCATGTGAGCATACGATTCAAACAAACAGATCAGATAATTATACATATGTATAAAGCATATGAACACATATTGACCGACCACTTTAACTTGACCGTCCGAACTAGATGTAGCTATGGTCGTTCGTGCACTCGTGGATGTAGTAACTG